AACGAATAGAATCGACAACAAATGACACTAGAACAAACGGAAAACATCCTTCTCGAAGGGAAACGACAGTACAAGTCAAGTCTCGCTCGGGCCCGGCCACGGGCGTGCATCTGCAGCTCTACCCGCTTCACAATTTCCTTCGTCCGAAGTTTGCTTAGGGCTACCCGTGTCCGAGTGGTGTGCCATGTATTACTCGAGGCCTGAATCTCAGACTTGCCTCCCACTACCCCTTCTTCACCCGCGAACGAGCCGATGAAAACAGAAGACGGAGAAGGAGGGAGGGGAACGCATGGTCCATACTGAGTGCAAAGAGAACCCCTGTGTCGGAAAAAGAAGGTTCAGGTTTATGAGCCGATTCTAACGGCCAGCTCGCCACGTGTTTGGATCACCGGCCGGTTTTGACTCTTGTTTTGGGAGGTTTGGCATCGGGGCGAGGAGGAGTTTCCGTCCAAAGGTACCGTCTCACCCGATTCGCTTATGTAGAAGTGGCTCTGCCGGTACGACTGGCGAAGGACCGAATCAGAGGGAAAAGAACTGACTCTAACGGGCCCCGTATTGTAGTTTCGACTAATCGAGTGAAGCCGACTTTTTGACCCCGTAGATCAACGATTCATTGTCGCCGCCAAGGTGGAGATCATAGAGTAATAGTGAATGTCTTGTGACCCATTCTATTCTTTTGAAAATATGCTTATACCAACTTTTGATTCCTCCGCGTTTCATTCAACAACCCAACCCTTACCAGCAACCCTGCGCTGCACAACCTTCTTCATTGGCAACGGCCACCCCTGACCACCGACCCCTTCGGCCCTGAGGTACGGCACAACCCACACCTCGCGCGTATTCGCCGTCGACGAAATCTCCTTGACTGGCTTCCCGTAGCTCACGAGCGGCGTGCCCTTGGCCAAGCTCGCAAGCTGTCCGCCCGTGACGTCCGTGAGCGCGAGCATCCTCGTCTTGGGCGTCTTATTCACGTCTGCGCCCTGCGTCGCGCGCTGGAGCTGCGAGTACACGACGAACTCGGGGCACTCGGCCGGGCTGAGGTGGGCGAGCGGCGACGTCGGGTGGATGTAGATGTACTTCTCCGCGCCGTGGCCCACGCCAAGCGGCGAGAGCGGGATGTAGGGCACGTCGATGGCGCGGCCGGGCTTGCGCGTCACCTCGGGCGGTACGGGAGCCTTATCGGCGCGGAGGGCGACGTGGTCGATGAAGCCGGCGGCCACCATCTGCTTGAGGTAGGCAACCTGCTTGTCCGAGGGGGCGTCGAGCCGGTCCTGGTATTTGAGGTTCTTGAAGGCGGGGATGTTGGCGCGGAGGAGCTCGGTGATTTGCTGGCGCAGCTGCGTCACCTCCTTCATGACCTTGTAGCGGACAAAGTGGTCCTCGCACCACTTCTCCGTCGGGTCGTGGGCGTACTCGCCGACGACCTGGAGGAGCTTGATGGCGTCGGACCTGTCGTCTAGGTAGCAGAAATTCTTGTGGGCGGCGTTGAAGAGGCGTCTGATGTTGGCCTGGCGATCCTCGGCAATGATGTCGGCGGTGCGGCGGAACTCAGATTCGTCGCGCGCCTCGAGGGAGGGGATCGCCTGATGTTCTGGGACAAAAACCTCAGCGGCCGAGAGCGCCGCCACCATCATGATGGTATACGGTAGGCAGTCGTGCTGGTGGCCGACGAGGAGGATGCGGGCGAAGCGGGGCGAGAGCGGGAAGATGGACATCGTCGATCCGATTTTTGTGATTTGGCCTTCCGGCGCGATGGCCGAGAGGTAGGTCAGCAGCTTCTCGGCCTGGCGGAGACCCATGCGGTTCGGCGGCGTTGGGAAGGGGAAGTTGACGACGTTGGAGAGGTTCATCGCCTTGAGCTGGAGCACGACGCCGTCGACGGGCATCCGCAGGATCTCGGGGTCTGTGAACTCGGGCAAGTCTCTCTCGTAGACGGCCGAGGAGTAGAGTCTGTAGCAGTGACCGGGCCCCGTACGACCGGCACGACCAGCACGCTGGCTGGCACTGGCCTTGCTGATCCAGCCAATTTCGTAGGTTTGTACTCCGCTGAAGCGATCGTATTGTCGCTCTTTGGACCGGCCACAGTCAAAGACGTAACGGATGCCCGGAATCGTCAAACTGGTTTCCGCAACGTTGGTTGCCAGGATGACTTGACGATGATTTTCGGGAGGATCCTCAAATACCCTCATCTGCTCCTTAGTTGGCAGGAGAGAGTAAAGGGGTAAGACTTGCATCTTCATGGGCCCCGTTTCTCCCTCCTCTCCTTCAATTTCGAACTCCTTGTCGTCCTCTTGCTCCATGTCCTCATCCTCATCGAGGCCGCCGTCGATGTCCGCACCGGTGGTATCGTCAACCTCGCCAAAGTCGATATCTTCAACCTCCATAGGCGCATCGGTGGCTGAGATCTGGACCTTGGGTGCGCTGGCTTCTGTGAAGCCACCAAACGCTTCCCTCAGCCGCTTGCTCAGATACCTGATCTCGTTTTGACCAGTAAGGAACACCAAGAAGCCTCCGGGCGGCAGCTTTCTGTGGCCACGCATAATCTTGTTAAAGGCCTCCTCGACGAAGTCGGACTGTGTCCGCCTCGCGAAATGAATCGTGACGGGATGTTGTCGTCCTTCAACCTCAACTACAGGGGGCGGGGTGGGGAATAGTGTGGTGTTGTTGGTCATATCTTCAACTCTCAGCGTCGCGGACATGATGATGATCTTGAGTGGCTTGATCGAAGGATCGACCTTGTCGTCGCCCTTGCGAATGTTGTTGATACGACTCAGCATTCCAATGAGGATATCTGTGTTGACACTTCTTTCGTGGGCTTCGTCGATAATGATTGCCGAGTATTTCTTCAGAGAGAAGTCTTGCCCCATCTCTCGCAGCAACACACCATCCGTCATAAACTTGATGGCTGTCTTGGCCGAAGCTGTACCCTCGAATCGGATCTGGTATCCAACTCTGTCCGAGTGATCGCCTAGTTCTTGCGCAACACGTTTTGACATGCTCACGGCAGCAACTCGTCGGGGTTGCGTGACACCAATCATGCCCGGAGTAGCAGAGCCAGGAGAACCGTACCCAGCCTCATACAAGAATTGCGGCACCTGAGTCGTCTTACCGGAACCTGTAGAACCGCATACGACGACAATGTCGTTATTGTGAATCATCTCCATAATCTTCTGTTCCTCAGCGACCACCGGAAGTTTCATGCGGACTTCCTGGATCTCTGGCGTTCTCGTCACAGCAACGGCGTATGCCTTGCGTGCAAGGTTTGTTGTCGGTTGTAGTTCTTGAGGCAGTGGTTCCTGCTCAAGCGGGCGTGGCTCAAAATTCTCAGGCCTAGGAATTTCCAGTGCTGTAGAGGCCTCTGTTGTTCCTTCGAAACCAAGGGCTTCATTTCTTTGCGCAAGAGCCCAGGCCTTGAAGGCAGACTGCCTTGTGCTGATAGACTCTTCTTCATCGTCCTCGCTTTCGTCTTCATCTTCGTCGTCTTCCTCCGACTCTTCGGAACCTTCGCTTGATTCTTCAGACTCCTCGGCTGGATCGCTGTCCTCATCGCTTGATTTTTCCTCTGCGTCATCGCTCAGGCCATTCCATTCGTCTTCTGCATCCTTCGCTTTCTCCGGTTCAGCGATGGAGAATTTGGACGTCACGCCACCTCTCTTTTGACGCTTCTGAAGCACTGGCCGTCCTGAATCATCAACATCTAATGGACGCTTCAGACCAGAGCCTACAGATGCGGCGGGTTGCGGTTCTGGCTTCGATGCCAGTGCAGGTGCCGGTTCAGGTGCTGGTGCTTGTGGAAGTGATACGGGTGTTGACTTTGCTTTCGCTGCTGCTACTGGCGTAGGTGCCTTGAGTGTGGCCTTGGGGGTATGCGGCTTGGTTGCCTTTGGAGTCTCTTCTTCGCTGTCGTCAAAATCCACCTCGGCTGCCTCCTCTCTCTCCTCATAAAGCAGTTCCTCCGCATCCGCGTCGACTGCCAAGCCGGCATTCTTCTCCCGCAAGGCCCTCGTTAAAGCCTGTCGTTTGGACTCCTTGCCCTGGCCGAGAGTCTTGGTGCTCGTGAACAGGCTCGTGTCGACCTTTTGCTGCGCGAGCTTGGCGAGGATCTCGCGATTCTCATCTTTGCGAAGCTTGTTGGTGATGTACTTTTCCAGCCGCTTCGCCTTCTTGCCGCTAGCTTTGGCATCGTCCCCTTGCAACTCGGCCTTGAGCTGCGCTCTCTTTTCCTGGAGACGCTTCTGATCTTCGGGGAGAATCTCATCCGCATTCGAGTCCTGGGGGATGGTGCCGTTCTCCTTGGCCCTCTCGCGGGCGAGCACCTTGTGCTTTCGTTGTCTTGGGACGAATTTTCCCATCTTGATTTGTGTGACAAATTCGTATTTGTCTTCAATGCAGATCCTTCGTGGTCTGTGTGGTGCTGCTTTGGACCGAAGCAAAAGTCGCTGTTTCTAATGCAGCCTCTCACCTCACTAGGAAAAGTTTAGGCGGATGAGACTGAGTTTCGTTGCTGATCCAGGTGAGACGAGATCAAGTCGTCAAAGCCTAGAAAAAAGATCAAATTTTGGAAAAATGCGTCGCGAAACAATTTTTAATGCCTCTAGGAAATTGGCATTTTAACGAGGGTATCAAGATTAGGAGATGCACATAAAGTAAAATCTCATGTTTCTCTCACTCAACGCTGAGGGTCGCTAAGATGCGCTGCCAAATTCTGGAAATTTTTGGATGGAAAAGGTTCTGCCGTGTTGACCGCCAGCCCTCCAGCTATTTCGGGCCTAGTGCGGGGCGATCTATACCCCTGTCGCCCGCTGCCGTGGATTCAACGGATCACTCACTGGCTGCACTCCAAGTTGGCCCTGCCAGTCCAGCTTACGATCAACAAACGACCTACATCACACCCGGCACCGATGCGATCAAATTGTAAAGCCTTTCCTCAAACCCCAGAAGCCTTATTATAAAGTCATTCCATTCACACCGCATCGTTCTCTCTCAAGTCAGCCAATACGATGGAACCTCAAGGAATCAGAGAAGAGGCCTTCCCCGCACGGAGCAGGCAGGAAACGGGAACAGTGAACGGCGTCCAAACAGAAGTCACTTCAGTCTCCTTTTCCGACAAGTTTGTATTGACAATTTCACAAGACGGCAAGCTCTCACAATGGGTACGTCCTCGATATTTTTCCTGTGTTCATAAGATCTAATTTTACTAACCACTCATAAAGATCCAAGTACCTCTGCAAGCTTCTACAGGCGGTATGGTTGACCTGAGCCTGCCTTCAACCAGCCGGGGCCTTCTCCCATCGGTCCACCTGACGCCCAAGACTCTTCTCGGCGGCGGAGGTGATGAGAGAGAAACTTTGGGGCAGCTCTACGCAGCACAGATTGCTAGTCTCATGTCCACGAGAGACCCCGAGGATCGCCGGACGCTCGTGGTGGGACTGGGGCTCACCAAGGTCGACACTGAACGGGAAGCCTTCTTCGATACAGTCGAGCTAGTCCAGAAGATTCTGTGAGATGCCCGCCAAATAATTTGGACAATCTCGCACCAGGAAGCTGCGGTGATGATAGCCGCTTCTGCAACAAGTCTTCGAACAGAGTATAAGCTGGCTGAGAAGCATCCCGCTGATGGAAGTCGAATGCCCTTCGCGGGAACCAAATCTAGTCGTCAGTACTGCTGTGACATGAAGATATCACACAAGGAACCAAGAGGCTCGAAATCAAGGATTGGTCTACGAGCGGCCGATATGGTTGTTATGGACTTCAAAAATCTACAGCACGTATAGCACTGCCACATGGGCATGGTTCAAGTCTGAAAGTCGCAGTGGCGCCCAGAAACTCAAAGGAGTCACCGGCTCATACAGAGAGTATGTGTCACAACTGAAGCTCAGCCGGTATTACAGTGCAGGGTGCTTCGACACCTTGTTGATCCCGGTAGCCTTGGTAGCAGCCGTTTCGTGTGCATTGGTATTGTAGAGACTGGCAACAAGACTCTGAGTCAATGGCTAGTCTCTATCAAAAGTAGGAGATATTCAAAGTACAGAAATAGAACCTGGTATTCATCACACAATTCTGCCCTACATACCGGTACGTACAGTGTCAGGGTCAACTTGCTTTTTCCGCCTCCTTAGTGACAGCCATACTCGTGGCGGTGAGCCGGGGGAAGACAGTCTGCACAACAAAAGACAAAGCAGTGCTACAACACACCTAGAAAGCCGGGGCACCACCCCCTTTCCCCACGTTCAAGTAAACCTTCCATATGATAGGCGAGCCTACAGAGGTTCTCAGTCCTTGCCGGGGAGTGCGAGCCGTCGGGTTCCGACGGGCTGGGTATGCAGAGTAGACAAGATGACAGCCACTTTTGACGTTTCCCCGGGCCGGCACAGGCGGGAACGGCTTCCGGCATATGTACAGGTGCCGCCGTCGGCCAAAGGGAAAAAAACACCTCAACTACTACATTCTCACCACCGACAAGAAGAAAAGAAGAGGCAGTAGTGGCGGTCAGGGAACGGGACGGGAGGGCGCAGTTGTTCGGCGGCTGAGTGTGTGCGAAGAGAGGCCGACGTTGCTCAGGGGATGGTTTCCTGGCAAAGTTTTTTCCTCTCATAAAGCAGGCTACAAAAAAGTATTTTATGCTTGACTTTCTCTAGGGAATTTAGAGTGTTTATGTTTATGAGAATTCACTGAAGACAAGCATTGGCATTCAAGAGAGCGTTGGTATGCTCAGGACCTTACCTTGCCTTGGAACTATCGACTAATTCTCTGAATACAGTGGTTTTCAAGTCTTAGTATATGAGTGATACGTAAAGCAGCTGCCTCGGTCACAACCACGGACATGTCGAGGAAAGATCCCCCCTCGCCCCGACCGCCGCCGAACCCACCACCAAGTCCGAGTTGACGCATGCTGTCTTCGCATCCCGGTCAAGGTGAAAGTCAGTATACTATAACATGATGACAGCAAGGCAAGAAAGCTGACTTGAGTCTGGATGTTTGCATAGTGACTGAAACACACATGGAGAGAACAAGGTTTTGGGTAGCAACTTGTCCATCTTGAACGACACCAGAGAGATAAAGTGTGGTTGAGACGTGCTGGATTACCGAATACTCCAACTGCTATAGACATACTTACACAATATCAAGCTTCAACACTAGGCAGTCATTTATAGCCTAGACTTCTCTTTGAGCACCCACGTCCCCTCCCTAACCTCAAACTCTCTCCCCTTCTTCCATCCAAGCCACTCCTCGAGCGCCTTCTCACCACCATCACCAGGCGTAAGCGGAACGCCAACATACCCTGCCCCCTCAACACCAGGCCCCTGGCCCCGTCTCGGATTCTCATCGTTGCCCGCCGCCACAGCTAAACACGGCGTCTCCACCAACGTCACCGCCGGTCTCTGGTCCCCTTCCCTCGCCGCCTCCGTCTCGAGCTCGTGATACTCCAATACGGGCGTACAACACGCATCCGTTCCGTCAAACACCTTCTCCCACTCCCCCCTCGTCCGACTCTTGAAGATCTTGGTGAACAACTCCCGCAGCTCCCCCCACCTCCCCCGATCGAACCTCTCCCCCTCCCACCCCTGCCCCGCCAACCCGAGCCCCTTGATAAACGCCGCAAAGAACTGCGGCTCCAGCGCCCCGACCGCAAAGTACTTGCCGTCCTTTGTCTCGTACGTGTCGTAGTAGGGACACCCGCCGTCGAGCATGTTCCTCCCGCGCCCGTTGTCCCCGAGCGGGTTCTTGAGCGCGAACCGCGGGAACGTGGCGAGGTACGCCGACCCGTCCACCATGTTGGCCTCCACGACCTGGCCTTTTCCCCCGTTCCTCTCCCGCGCCAGCAGCGCCATCAGGATCCCCTGGAACAGCATCGCCCCGCCGCCTGCGAAATCGGCCAAAATGTTCCACGGCGGATGCGGCTTCTCTCCGTCCCGGCCGAGCATGCTCAGCGCCCCGGACACGGCTAGGTAATTGATATCGTGGCCCGCCATGTCTTTATACCGCCCGTCTCTTCGGAACCCCGTCATGCGGCCGTAAATCAGGCCCCTGTTTGCCTTTTCCAGGACGTCGGGCCCCAGCCCCAGTTTCTCCAGCACACCTGGGCGGAACGGGTCGATGAGCACGTCGGCCTTTTCGGCGAGACGTTTGACGAAAGCGAGGCCGGCGGGCGATTTCAAGTCCACGGCGACGGAGGCCTTGTGGCGGGCTAGCATGTCTTCCGTCGGTAGGGGCGTGCGGCTTCCCTCAATGGCGCGGTCGACGCGGAGGACGGAAGCGCCGGCGTCGGAGAGGAGCATGCCTGCAAAGGGACCCGGTGCGAGGCCGGCGAATTCGAGGACTTTGATGCCTTTAAGGGGCGGAGGGCCGACCATAATTGCTGGTTATTCACTTAGACAATGTTGAAGACGGCTGGGTGCAACCTGGTATGAAAAGACTAAGGATGACGACAAGGTCTTTATATACTTGTTTCTAAGTGACTAAATGCTTGTTGGTGATATTGTAAGAAATCTTTACGGATACATGTAGATGAAATTGTTGTAGAATTGTGAAATAAAGACGCCCAGTTGTGAGTTGTGACCGAGACACGAGCCCGGTAAACTTAGAGTTGGGGAAGCTCCCAAGAAGCCGAGGCAGTGTCCGCCTGTGGGCGGGTGGTCGGAGTTGCTGGAAACAAGCAACTCCTAGCACTGGCACCGGACCGCGGGGGAGACGGGACGGGAGCTACTGTAGGGTCGGTGAGCACCTTATTGCCGGTGCATGATGTACTCGGTGTGGGGTTACTGGAGATCAAGTTAGGTGGTTGCTTGAACTGGCCATGAACACAGGGCCGATGGGACGGGATGAGATAGGATTTCGTTGGCTCCTAACTACTCCGTGCTTCTGTCACTTTGAGAGTGCCAAGCACTCCAAAGTGCATATCCACAAGAACAGCCCTTATTGAAGTTTACTCTTTTTAGCTGTTGATATGTGATACAATTTATACAGCCCGAAGTATCAAAATCAGCCCCTGCGTACTTATACTATAAGGTATGTATACTTGTGTACATAAGATGATTGAATAGCGATTATCGGGTTGAATTGACGAATTGGTATCGTAAGGATATTTCCTCCTTAATACCTAGGCTGCGCCCTACTTCCAAGCTTGTAGATATCATGATCATTTTCATTGCAGTATCCGTATACTCACATGAGAAAGTAAAGTAATCTCACACACAGCCTAGATAGCAATGAAACATGACATATTCCTCAAAAAAGGTATCTTGCAAATTATTGTTCACGAACAGAACCATTACACCCAATACCATTCAACCCAACCTCCAAAAGCACACTCAAAGGTTCATCGAAACCCCGGGATCAACCCCATTCAGCAGCTCCACAGTCTCCTCCCACACCCGCCCCTGCATCTGCTCCCCCTCCTCGCCCTGCATGACCTTGGGGAACCGCACGACGACGCAGTCGCTCATGTACCGCCCGTGGGCCTCCTCGCCGGCGAACGCGCTCGCCGTCAGGCACCGCGACCCGACCTCGGCCGACCGCGCCAGCAGCTTCAACCCGACTTTGACGACGATCGTCAGCGGGAAGGGGATATTGCGGAACAGCGCCGTCGCGCAGAGACCCGGGTTCAGCGTCGTCACCTGCACCCGCCCCTTGCCGGACGCGTCCGCCGCGATGGCCATCTGACGCGCCAGGATCACCTGCATCAGCTTGGACGTGTTGTACCGGTCCGTCAAGCTCTTATTGGTGTTGAGGGCCTTGTAAATGTCTTCCTCATTGCGTTCGTGGAATTTGGCCTGCCCGGGCACGAATTGCGTGTAAGTGGATGAAAAACTCCCCGAGATACCTCATGCTATTTGAGGTAAAAGGGAAAAAGCACAATAAAAACTCACCATTTGACTCGCATCCGAAGCGACAATCACAATCTTGGGCGTGACATTATGCGTCTTGCCCGTCCTCCTCAGCACCGGCAATAACTTCAACCCCAACAAGAACGTGCTCAGCACGTTCACCGTAATCGTGCTCTCCCACCCCTCGGCGTCGACCCTCTTGCTCGTCGCGATGCTCGCGTTCAGTACCGCGTAGTCCAGCCGCGGCAGCTTGTCCGCGCGCGCCGCGAACTCTTTGACGCTCTCAAACGACGCCTGGTCCAGCGGCCACACCTCGACGACGCCGCGCCGGCCCGTCGTCAGCTCAATGTCCGTCTTGGCCGCCTCGCCTTTGTCGGTGCTGCGCACGGCGAGGATCACCTTGGCGGCATTGAGCCGCACAAAGTGCCGCGCCGCTTCGAGGCCCAGGCCGACGTTGGAGCCCGTGACGATGATGGTGCGGCCGGCGCAGTCGTCGGATGGGTAGGGGAGCTTTTTGAACTGGGAGCGGATGAAATCTACTGCCATCATCTTGGCGGCTTTTTTGCTGGTTTGTTCTTCCTTTATTAAAGTTTCCGGCCCTGGGCTGTTGGGTCTATCGCTTCGAAGAAGCTCTGCAGCTGTATTTCTCACAACACGTGATATCCGCGTCTTTCGGT